TATCTTCAGGATGTAAATGACAAGAAGGAAGAAGAATGGCTTGGCTGGGACATAGCTGTCTCATTAAACAAAAGGGGAGGAAGGAAGAAAAAGCATTAGAAAAAGTGTCAGGTTACTATGAAACATTGTATCCCTGAAACAATATAGAAAGTTCGGAAGTTTCATTAGTTAAATGTATTGTGTTTCTCATGGAGGTGGCTTAGATCTTGGAGGTTAGCAAACCGACTGGATCTGTCTTCTGATTTTCATTGAACGTGTCTTATTTAGGATACTGGAGAACAAGAACAGCTTGTGCGATGTAGACTTCTAACCATGTGGCTCTGATGTAGGTCATTAAATTGTGATAAACTCTTCATGCGGCTGCTGTCTTGTTCACTTCCCATATAGCTCTGCTTCAATCCACTGAGACTTTGTGCAAAGGTTATGCATTAATGATGCTCCAATCATACAGCTTACTTTTTCTTAATCCTTTCTCTGGCTTCCTTTTATCTCCTGGTTCTCGTTCTTTCCATGAAGACTGTGACAATATTGCAAACTCTCACATTCTTCTGTTATCCCAGTGGTTTTGATGCATCTTGAAACTGCCTCTTTTCTCACATGTGCTTCATGTTTTCTGTCTGTCATTTCATGTTGCCCACAAGTCCAGTCAGCTGTAGTTGCTTAATAAAAATAATGTGCTAATACAAAGCTAGAAAGTGTTTACATTGATGGAGTTACTTGCTAGAATGCTTTCAAACAAGCTGCAAAAGACAAGGTGTTGTTATAGAATTTGCTGAAATAGCTAAATGTTTAAAAATTATTAAGGATTGTTGAGCTTGCCAAATTTTGCATGGCCCATTAATAGTGCTCCATAGTAGTGGGCACCTCTGCAATGAAAGAAGTGGGATAAGAGATGAAATGTAGGTACACTTTATCCTAATTTATCTTTATATCTCTATCTAGTGATTCGATGCTCTCTCCCTCCCTCCTTCCCTCCCTCCCTGACTCAAACTTCTGAAACGTGTATATTGGTTCTTCTGTTTCATGTATTTCCAGCAAGAAACGTTCTGATAACTTTTTTTTTTTGCCAATGATTTGTTAGCAAGATTAGACATCAGTTAAATATGTTAAGAGGCCAGAGGCCAAACACATTATTTTCTTTGAAAACTGCACCAAACGTTTGCCAGTGTATGTAAAAACTTCTTGTTCAACCTTCAATCATTTTACAATATTTGATTTAGTGTTACAATTCAGGGTTATATTCCTTTGCAGAATAATATATGGAGGGCAAGCTTGCAGAGCTCAAAGTTAGGAAAACAACCTTCTCACTGGTAAACTGAGTAAATTTATTTTTAAAGTCAAACAGAATTGCAGTCTTATGGTGCCTTTTGGAAGTGTCTTAATTTACATGAATTTCTAAAACATCTAAGCTGGATAGATGTGGACTGTATTTGTTCTACTGCTTTCTTTTTTGTGATGAAGGGACAAATAATATCTGAGTCTTGGACATCTGTATGTTGCTATTTCTCTTTTCATATGGGACAGCTGAAAAAGGGTAAGAGTTGGTAGAAGCGTAGACGCTTCATTGAAAAGTGGGTGACATTTTTCAGGTGAGCTGTTTTATTTCCTGAGAGATGCAGTTTAGGTTTGATCAGATGAAATCATAAATTCATGCTAAATATAATCTATACTTTTTTACCAGAGAAAGGGAGGTAAGGAGAAACAAAACTCTTGAACACGTGGGGTTTACTGTATTTTTTAAGTAGTAAGACATCAAAGAAAAATCTTTGGCTGGACATTTCCTTAAGTAATTTCCTTCTTTTACTTTGCATAGAAAACAAAAGAAAAAAGAGGGGATTTCAAATTGACACCGAGTGAAATGAAAGAAAAAAAACTTGCGGTCGCTTGGGTAGCAAAATGAAGAAAGTCATTATTTTAGCAGATGTATGTTGCTGTGACATTGTTGGGGAGAGTGTAAGAGTGTTGAGTGGAGAAGCGTTGCGGACTCCAAACTAACGTTTTCCAATTCATTTGAAATAGCTAAATATCATATTTTGATCCTTCTGTCAGTTTTTTAGGTGTCATCATTAACTGTTTATGATATTTCTGTATGCATCCATGGTATTTGATAAACAGAAAATACATCATTTTAATTACTTCTTAGTGTATAACAAATATTACAGAATACTTATTTTCTGATAACTAATTCACAGTTTATCCTCTGTATGTAATCACATATTTGGGAAGTTTTGTGTAATTGGATGTGCAAAATATGTCTCTTAGTATTTAAAAACAGCACCCCAACACAGACTTACAGTTCTAAATTGCAGTCTGTTCTTAGAATTTCTCCAGTATATGCATAAATGGATGGAAGTGACAGTCATTTCGAAACTTGATCTCAACGCAAGTAATATGGATAAATCTAGGTTATTACATTTTCCCTCCCTATTGAAACTTTTTTTTTTTTTAACTTAAATGCTTTACATCCTCTTTTGTTTGTTGTATAGTCATTTGTGGAATGAATGTCTTATGTGACCTGACTAAATCTGCCCACCAAAATAAGTTTACGATCGTTATTGAAATATCATAACACACAGATTCTCTAGATTTTGGAGCAAATTTAGAACAGATATTTGGATGGGTAATCAAAATCAATTACTTTAGTAGCTTGGGTCTTTTGCATACAAAATAGCCCATTAAAAGAGCCTCAGTGAGATGCATGGGGAAAAATTAGGAGAAGCAATAGCTGAGGTTAACTCAAGCTTAACTCAGTCTTTCTGTGCGTTTGCATTATTTGAACACATCCTACTTTTTTTTCCGGAAGAACTATTTCTCTTTTAATATATAAATTGGGTAGTATTCACTGTGTGAGTAGTTGTTCAGTAATTTGTCCTTTTACTGTTCAATGTGTGATTCTAGATCTGACTTACTGCACGCTGTTCAAACTCTTCTCCAAAATGTATGCTTTTCTATATAGTTTTTCTGTTTTGCTCATCACTACGGTAAATAACGGACTTTAATTAATTTGTCTTCCTCCCCTCTATGAGAGGAATGGCGTGTTTTAATCTCCATTTTACAGGCTCAGGCAATGTTTAGTTCTTGAATGCTTGATTTTGCAACTACATTAATCAGTCTTAGGAAAAGAGGGTTAAATGAGATGCGTGATTTCCTAGGTGGGTAAAAAGAACGCAATCTATCTCAAATTCCTTTATTTCCCTCTGTTCTCCCTTCTTCCATAGTCCCTCCTGTCTCTCTTTCCAGTTTGATTCTTCCTCATCTCTTCCTTCCTCTTAGACCCCATTCCCTCTTCAGTCCTGGATGCCCATGTGGTTCCAGTTTATCCTCTCCAGGTCACTTGCTTTATCCCCACTTCTCTGGGCTCCTTATCCAATCTCAGAATCTCCCCATATGCTGAAATACTCTTTGTGCCTGTTTAACACAGTTAATTCAAATTTCACTTTACGGTGCTCCAGCCCTGTCCTGTAGGTTCTTGTCACGTCTGTTCTCTTTTGTGCTTTCTCTGAAACATGGCACTGTTTCCTTTCTCCATCAGTTTCCCTAGACTCTTAGCAACGAACTGATCTTGCCCTGCCATTGGTTTCACTTTTTTTCTGTCCAGTCAAACCAGACTCCTGCCTCTTTTACACCTTTACAAAAGGCGCCCCTTTTGCCAGCTGTCAGTCTTGCTGGGCTTCCCTGTCCCTGTCATGGAATGTGATCGTTTGCTCTTGTACAAACGCGGTTTGGTTATAAATGCAAGTTACGGGATTTGAAGACGCAGGATGGGCTTCTCAGGAGTTTTGCAGGAGTCTTTGTTGAGTACACTTGCCTTTCATTTTCTAATCTTATATTTTGATCTAATTTAGCTGAATTTTCAAGGGAGGCCCTCCTTCTTGAACGTTGCCTGGCCATCTTGGCTGATGTTTGCAAGAGGTGGAAGCGTTAGGCGGGCACTGAGCATGTTGCTGATTTTTAAGTATTTTGTGATGTCTCCATTAGTGATAACAAAATAAAATGATATAATTGATCAGTGAAAGTGAAGAATGGTTAAATTAACAAGAACGTATGTGCATGAAAAGCATCTTGGTATCTTTGTCAAGACCTTTGATTTTGACTAGGAAGCAGGAAAGCTGTATTTTGCAAAAATGCTGGGATTTAGTATGAGATTTCATAGGATGTTTCTGTACATTTAGTAGAAGAGTTTTGGGGGGAATTTGACTCAAATGTGACTTAAGACATAAAAGCTCTACACAAGAACAGGATTCTAATCTGAGAGTAATTTCTGTCTTTCTTTAGGATTACCAGGGGAATATCATTAGAAATAAAAGAACATACAGCATTCCCAAGCTTGAGTTTTACTGCAGCTAAATGGAACACAAACCTCAGAATCTCTGAGCTTTGTTCTAAATCTATAAGCCAAGAATTTTGGCAAGGTTGAAATATACCAAAAGTAAATTCTTCCAATCCTTCTTTCAAATCCTCTCCAAAGTATGTATAATGTATTTTGGCATTTTTAAACTATAAGTCTATTTAGAGGGGTGATGAGACCTGTCTTAAGATGTATTTTTATCTTAACCAGGCATAACTACTTTTATTCAGTACTAGTAGGAGTATTCAAGGGTGCTGATGCTATGTGAATGTGGACTGTATAATTGGATTGAGGAAAAAGTTAGATTTTGCGTTCAAACTCTTCTTAGTATGAAAGCCTATTATGAAGCATACATGATATTTTTAAAAGGCTATAGAAATATTTAGCTTCTCTCCCTGTTAACAATAAAAATGCAGGTTCTTCTTAAATTTAGGAATAGCCGCAAAGTGCACAAAATGCTATCAAGAAACGTTTAGCCAGTCTTGAAGTAAGCAAACTTTTTAATGTTTTGTTTGTTTGACAAACAGGTACATACAAAGTTCCACTGCAGACAAGCCCATGCCCCTGGCACTGACACTTCATGCCTGACATTTTCCTACGATGGTACCGCCCTTGCCAGCCGGGGAGGTAGGTGATTGAAAGAACTCTTTGATGTGTTGAATGCGAAAAGATCTTAACTTTTACTAAAGTAAATGGTTCAGTAAACAAACTGTTTAAATCATAGCATCACTAAATGTACTTGTTCTTGGTGGTGGTAAGATAGTGAAATAACTTATTAGTGACTTAAACCTGAAATGTTTCACAAATTACATCTTCTGTTATGATACTCCATAAAATACTGTGCTGGTGAAAGGGCATTTTTACAGCAGTCAGGAAATATTTTAAGAGACCTGTGCTGTTTATTTTATACAGTTCTTGATCTGTTTTCTTGTCTAGTATTAGTAATCCACCATAAAGGAAATTATTAGCTTCATTAAAAATAATATAAGAGAAATTTCGCTATTTAGTTCTTTAGTTCTTAGAAGGTTATTGTCTCTCAGTACGAGTATCTCTGTTCTGGAGTTATTAATTCTTCAGGCTGCTTCCTTATGCAATGCACTTTTCTGTTCTAACTGGAATTTTTATTTAATTTATATTATAAGCACTATCAGGGAATGATTTGATGAGAGTGGCCAAAACATACTAGAAAGGAAAAAAAAATTGGCATATCCACAGGACAGGAAAAGAAACCGCTTGTTTTATTAAGTTTAGATAAAACTTTTTGCTTTTTTTTTTTTTTGTCTTAGAGAACAGTAAAAGTTTTGAGAGGGCAAAGACCTGTTTGAAGACTCATTCACACTGCATGTATTGAGTAGGATGATTTGTGCTCAAGATAACTTTTAATCTAGAGGTTTGTCTACCGTATTTTGCAGGCAGGTGTAAGCATACAATCCAAGCTGTCTGGAAGGAAACCAGCTGTAACCAGAAGCTGTGTATATGCATTAGCATGGCCCCAAGGCCAAATAAGCAGGCCTAGTGAGAGGCAGTATATGTTGATGCAGGCTCAGTATTGTGCCTAACATATGTACGTGACATCTGGTCAGTTTGGTGCGTGGACAGAATGAGATTACATCTACAAAATTCCACAGTAGAAGTATTCGTAGACTGCAAACTCTCTGAAGCAGGGGCAGTGCCTCTGAGTGGCTGGCTGCAGCCTACGGTTGTTTGCATCCTTCCCCTCACCCTGTCCCTGAGGAATAGTGACATTGGTGACTTTCACGGACCGATGCGTCTCCTTTCGGACACCTTCTGCCGGCGTTCCTTGTATTGCTGCCTTGTTTCTAAGATCCTAAACGTTAACGTTCCCCAGATCACATCTTTCAGATGAGGAGGATGGTCTCCTTGCCCTTGACAGGCCTAGGCTCACTAGGCACTTGGATTGTTAACTGCTCTTCAGGCTCCTGGATCCAGAGCCAGATGAGTGGGCCCTACCTAAGCGGTTGAGGTAAATACCCTCAACCTTGCTGGTCCTTACTGAACTGAACACTTGTTAGGTGAGAATCTTCTCCTCTTTGGAAAGTAGGTGAACCGTCTATGTTTCTGTTCTGGGCTAAGTAAAATGAAATGCCTGTCTGCCAGTGGTGTTGCCTCCAGAAAATCCACGCAGACATACCTTGTATGATTAAAGAGAAATCTCTGTGTCTCTTTAAATATAAGCAACAAAAAGAAAGCAAAAAAACCCCCTCTAATGTGAGGGATATTCAATAGTGCTGTCTTGAATCCTCCATTTCTATAAATTCTCTCATGTATAAGTTTGTGAATGTAGATCACATAAATGCCCTTTGCTTATTTTAATCGCATGTGGCACTTTTTCTTGCGAGCTCTTCCTCCTCTTAACTGTCTCCAGATTTTCGGTCGTGTTGAACGGACTTTAAGTTACTTACAGTCTCACTACCACATTTTTAAGCTATGTAAAATCTTGATTGATTGTTTGCAGAACAGAAGACTGTACAGAAATTTGGCCCCTCAGTGTGGTTAAAAAAATGCTACCCTTGTCTAGCGTATTGGATTGCATTTGAAAAATCTGTGTGTATCCTGTGCTAAAGAATGAGGAGGATTCATACCTTATTTTGTCTTTTTTGGTTAGTGCTCTAATATGAGTATTGCTTTGGATCTGTACCAATAAAAGCAGATGTGGATCCAGCATTCATAGATTAACACACCTGCCAAGTGCTGAGGATCAAAGGGAGAATAGTTGTTTGGGGAATGGGGACTTTCGCTGAAAGCCTTCTTAACTCTCCTGCATCTGATGTAGATTCTGTGTTGCATATGAGAGAGATGAGGCAGGGCTCAGCTGCAAGCACAAGGGAAAATGAAAAGCTCAGGAGCTGCTTATGAGAGTTCCCAGTCTTATTCTTGTTGGGTATTAGGTAGTAACTTGACAGAAACTTAAGAAAGTGATATTTTTAAACACTTGTGACTATGAAAGCTATTTTTTCTAAATACAGTGAAGATAATATTTGGGAAACATTTTCTTTGTTCAGCAGTGAGGAGGTAAGTAAGGACTTGGGGTCTTGCTGTACATATTTTTTTTTTTTTTGCTCTGGGTAGGTACAGAATTTATGGAGTTAGTTTTTGTTGTTTAATCAATTTATGGCTTCATATTAAATTCTGTGAATCTCATCAAAACCGTTTGTTTGATTTATTTTCTTTGATAGGAACAGTGTGCAGACTTAGTGCCATCTTAAACAGTTAATTTTCATAGGAGAATCAGTTGTTCATAGCTAAATTCAGTGAAAACTATTCACCTCTAAACCTATCAAATAGCTTAAGCAGATACATGCTTTCTTTAGGGCTGAAGAAGAAATCCTTCTGTTTTTTGGTTTTTTTTTAAACATTTTAGCTATATTTCTCTGTTAAAAATGTTCTCATGGAAAAAGAAAACTTTTAATATTAAAGTTAGTTTAAAAAGTTGAAACATCTTGAGTTCAGTGTCCTGAACATTCAGGGACTGTGCGGCAGCATATGTAGTAAATTCCTATTTTTTGAAAAATAATATATATTGCTCTTTATGGTAAATACAAATATTAGCACTTAAAAATCCAATGGTTTTAAATCAACTGCTTCTCAAACCAAGGTGCATTTTAAACAAACACTAAAAAGGCATTAATTAGCATTAATGAGTATAATCAGCTGTTTGTACTACTTGGAGTTCAAACAGCCTTCTCACAGTGTTCTAGTATTCTTCATTTCCATATACATACAGAGGAGAATATACTTAAATATTTGGCCAGGCTGGTATATCTGTCCAATGGATAAAGTTTGGTGAGACCAGGTGATCCTGAGAGCTGTTCCAAGTGTAAATGCTGAACTCCTGATTAGTGACATCCCCTCCCCAAGCCAGGTCATTTAGCGCTTGGCTCAGGGTGAGCGTGATCCTGGCTTGGTGCACCTCATGCAGAAGTCCTTATGTTGCAGCTCCTGTTGCTGAACCAGTGCAGATAGCAAGAAGGATATACCTTGCTTTGTCAGGTGCCTCTCATTGCGTATAGTTTAGGCCTTCACGGAAAGGCCTTGAGTTTTTAAACACATAGTATTCTGGTACGCTCTTTCTGTTTAGCCTTGTGTTATGCCTTTCCTTTGCTGTATTTTTTTTTTAAATCTCATTTTTAATATTTCTTTGTTTTTCCCCAATGATCTTTGTGAGTGTCTGTTCTTCAGCTTTGCTTTCAACACAAGACTTCCTCTTAAAATAGGAGCTCCTTGAAGGTTGTTGCTGACTTTGGACTTTATGAGTTTCTGGCAACACTTTGGCAGCTCTTTCACTTCGTTTGGGCCCGTCTGCATTCATTTACTTGTCTTCCTGGTCAGTATTTACCACAAAGAAAAAAACTGGATTAAGTCCTTGTAGTCTCAGTGTGCTGGCCTTATTTTGTCTAAAAGCCATTTACAAAATACCTATCCTGGCTCACCAAAGATTGTTTTTCTAGTACCTCATTCTTACCTCTTGATAAATCCGATGTTCAGTTCTGTTGTGATAACAATGTCTGACCTCATCATAATAGGCCAGAATATGATTATTGGTATGCTTCTTATTAAAATGGTGAAGAAGAGAGTTGGAAATTTTGTTTGAAAGGCTATTGAAAAAATTCTGCCAGCTTCTTGAGAAGTCTGCCATCAGGACAAATGCTGAATGATCCAAAAGTGGACTAATTTGAATGCTTCTTACTGAACTGCATGACTTCCGACTTTGTTTATGTGTCTTTGTTTAAAAGTAACTATTTTGGCTGTGTGTGAAGTGGTTAAAAATAGATCAGTACTGCTACAGCATCTTGTAAAGAAGCACTAAACATAGAAGGATGCTGTTGAAAAAAATCCTTGGTGTTGTGGAATATTAATATGTCTGTTTTCTTGGAGACAGTGATTTCAATTCCTAATGCAAATTAGATTTGAACAAGAATGCCTAATTTGGAACACAATATATTTCAATTAGGGGATGGATTTGGGCAAATCTTACATTATTTTTTAAAGATTATCATGATAGAGTTTCACAGTATTGGCCAAGTCATTCTACTGGCATTTCTGCCTTTCCAAATACTTGCAAACCATTTCTGCACTGTGGAAGACAGCGTTAATTTGAAATCAACCACAGTTTCTAGAGTCTATCTAACTTTTTCTGTTTTTTTACGCCAACCTGGTACACTTTCTTGCTAACAGGAGAGCTTTATCTAAATGTCTGACTGCATCTCTCGTGCTAAAGCCTGGCAGGACTACAGCTTGAAGATCATGTCAAGGCTCATTCTGCTGGGAACAGCACAGCCTTGGCTGCTAGCCTTAGATCTGTCCCTCTGCAGGAGATTTGCAGAGCGGCCAAATGGCATCCTTTGCATATATTATAAAGTGCTGGTGCTTTAGATATAACATCTAGACGATAAGTGTTTTTTTTGGTTGGGGGTGGGAAGGGAAAGGGAGGGTTCACATTACAAGTCCGAATGCTTTGAAGTGCTTGGGATGGAGTCTACTATGAAACAATAAGAAAACAGATATTCCCAAAATAGGGACTCAGCATTTTTCTTTCTTGTCGTTTTTCAGCTTCCCAACGAACAGAAATATACTCTGCTCTAGACATCATTTATTTAAGTTGTCCACTTCTTAAAAATATTTTGTAGTAAGGAGTTATCCTAGTCTTTAATATAAACATACATGATGTACGAGGCCACACATTACTGCTTTCCCTGTAAAGGGTACTGCTGGCCTTGATTTCTTTTGTTACAACATGTTACAATTTTTTTTCTTTTTTTTTTTTTTTCAACATTTTATTTCCAAGGCCTCCCTTGAGCTCTTAATCTCAAAGACTGGAAGTCCACAGACTACTTTTAGACAAAAGAAAATTACTTCCCTGCTAGGTTTGTGCTTCAGTGGGAAACAGGTCTGTGGATTACCAGTCACTTGCCTACCTCTCCTCCTAGTCAGGAAGACTTTGTCACTTTTTGTGTAAAATTAATCTCCTGATATTTTTAAAGTGACATGTGGCTTGAAAGTCCTTCCCTTCACCCTTGAAAGCACTGCGGCACTGCTTTTGAATGCAAAGGGATGTCTAGGTGCCTTAGGGCTCAAAATTCTGTAACTTGTCTCATGCTAGAAATGTGTATCCCAGAGGGATGGTCAGCAGAGATGTAGATCTCTCTGAGAATAAGAGAGAATCTCTTTTTCTTTTTTGTTCTCTCTTTGTTAACGTCATAACTTTTCAAAAGGGAATAAACACCCTGACTTTTACTGGCCTACAGAGTTGCGCCATATTCAAACACAGATGAAAATTGCTATAAATGTCTTACTCTAACATTGATTTTAGCTTTTATGGTCAAAGGTGTTCTGGAAGGTGTGAAAATATTTCATTACAGCAACTGTGGGTTCACTTAGTTCCCTTCTTTGCCTTTCCCAAGGAATTCTGCCCTATTCCAGGGCCTGCGCTCCATACTGAGATTGTAGTTTGTTCCTGTTTGCCTGCTAAAGAAGTAGAAGGTCTTCATGTGCCTTTCGTTCTTGCTAGTTGTCTTTCCAGGGCAGGTAGAAACCATCTACATAAAACTTATTTAACTTTTTAACTAATCCATCCACAGTAACACTGTAATTTCTGTTAATATCATTAGAAAAAAGTTGAAATTTATTAATAATAAAACACCAAACCTGACAAACACCGAATAAGTTAGTGTTTGAGAAATTTGATTCTGATGTAGGTAGTCATTGTTAGTGGGAAAGACTGCTGTGATGGAGTTAAGCTATTGAGAAGTTCCTGGTCTGCTGTTGTGCATCAACTGGAAAGTTTCATCCTTGCGCTTTCATAGCCATTTAGGGACAAATGACTTCCACCCCCATCCCCATTTTGAATGTTTCTTCCGTTATTGTTCTCTTCCTTTTCCTATGTCTTTTCACGTCTGAGTTAGAGGAGGAAATTTTCTGCAAATGTCTAGGTTCTTGACTTTAACTCTTTATTGCTAACTTTTGTCTCTTTTGTTTCACAGGAGACGATACTTTAAAGATATGGGATATTAGACAATTTAAAAAGCCTCTTAATTCAGCTGAAAGGCTGTCTAGTTTCTTTCCAATGTAAGTACGCTGATTTATTCCAGCTAGTAGAAATAGCAGTAGCTGGGCAGAGCAGGAGGGAGCGTATGGGAGTTCTACTTCTCAGTTCTCACTAGATCCAGAACAGTGCAAGAGGGACCCCTTGTTCTTAGCTATTTTAGGACTTAATACTGTTTTCAAATATATCTTATTTTCTATGATAATTCATGGCTAGCTTTGTTTGCTATATGCCATTTTTTATCTCATACCTCTAAAACCTAATTGGACTGTAAACTTTTCAGGAGGAGGCCAGTTCATTGCCTTACGTGTGTATGAGACATATACGAGCCTTATTCTTTTTTGATCTATGATTAATAAGAAGGATTAGAGCTGATTTGAAAAGTTGGCATAGCATAAAGTAGACATGCAAGGTGTGAGTTCAAGTTATGATCAAGTGCTGGTGACTGAGTTGTATAGCACTTAAATATTATGTTTTACTGTATAGCGCAGAAGTACTATATTTTTTATATATTTTTTTTTTGTATTACCTGCATTTCTATAGCTGTAGCACAGCCAAATCCGACTCTAAGGACAATTTATACTTTTGAAAGAAGATCTTGAGCAGGAAGGTCAGGGATAGATCAATCTTGAAGCCACAACCACTGTATTTTGTAGCATAGACAGACGGAGGAAAAGTAAACAGACAAATGTTTTTGGCTACTATGTAAACACACTGCTGTGCAGCATTGAAGAATATATATCATTAGTGAAAACAGATTTAATGATGGATTTATTTGCTTACTGAATGATGTTAACCAGATTTTGAAAATACTTTTTTGTTTGTTTCTGATGCTGAAAAGTACACAAGACTTTTGAGAAGAAAAGGATTTTCGGGGGGGGAGGATAATTGTTTTTGTCGGTTTTGCATGTTCTGTGCACAGCTGTAATTGTAAAAGTTAACTGATGTCTGATAACTATAGTAGTAGATGGCATCTGACAAAAGTTTTTTTTGAGCTTTACCTTAAAATGATTAACAAATAAAAAGGATTATTTTTACAGAATGATTTATAAATATGTTCCCTACATATTAATTATTGGCTTATCCAGTATGATGGTTTATTTTCTTCTGCAGGACAGATTGCTGTTTCAGCCCTGATGATAAAATACTTGTCACAGGCACCTCTGTTAAGAAAGGTGGTGGCAGTGGGAAGCTTTTTTTCTTTGATCGGGAGACTTTCCAGAAGTTGTATGAGATAGAAGTTACAAATGCAGTATGTATTTTAGTTTTCTTTATTCCATTATTCAAAATATGAATGAAATCATTTTCATATGCTTTATTTTCTCTATGCAGATAATGACCTATCAACACTACTGTAATTTGTCTATTCCGTTTTTGAGAGCAAGTATGACTAGAGGTAGAACGCCCTGAATAAGGGCTATTCTCCTTTCAATTAAAATAAGAAAAGAAAGTCTTGGGACAAGGTGTTTAAGCACTAGGAGATCCTGCTTTTGGTGTTAGCATTTGTCAAGATTTTTCTGAACCTTTCCAGAACTGTGAAATGAGGCATAAATCTGAAAATTCTCACATACATATGTATGCTATTTAGTCCACTAGTTCTCATAGTAAAATGCCATATTGTGACAGAACCCCAACTTGTCCCTGAAGCCAGACTTGTGATTATTATAGAATGTAATTCAGTGGATTCTAGCCTGTGTAAATGCAACAATTTTGTGGCAAAATAAAAGGCATCACTAGGAAACCCTGTATCAAAAAATCCTGTTCTTACCAGAAATATAAAAGCTTAAAATTGTGAATCTGTAATACAGAAGAGTCTGTGCATGGTTTGAACAACTCATCTCATGAGGGGAAAGCTTAGTATCAGATTTGAAAAAAAAGGTCCTTTCACCTTTATGGTGCACATAAGCAAGCGTGTAGGTTATGACAGTCAAAGTTGGGAGAAGTTCAAACAAGGAGTTGATATTGCTTAAGTATCAGGCATTTCCAGGAGTTGTTCGAGTCTATCACTAGCCAGTTCTTTGTCACGCTGTAGTGATTCAAGATACTGTTTTCTCCTTCGGGACTTTTCTTAACCCACCTGTTGCAGTACAGTGGACTTTATTAGCTCTGCACACCAAAACTGCGTCTGCTGGAGTTCATTTACACTGGCTTCACATTTATATTTACTTTTCTTTTCAAATCCCATTTTCTCTTCTAAATTCATCCTACAAAATCTGATTATGGCTGAATGTTATATCACTTATTTCTTTGGTAGCAGGCTTGCAAATAAAAAACATAGAAATCATGGTGAAGCAGAAGGAGTGTGGCTTTCTGAAGGGGGGAAAAAACCCTTTTTTTTTTTTTAAACAGATACACTCTATTTTTTATACTACATTGGAATTTTCATTGGAATCTTTATTTAGTATTAAAGGATTTCTCTATAGATAATATAAATTGGATTTTCAGTTTTCCTCCTATGGAACAGGCCAGAACCTCAACTTAACTCTTAAGGATTTCTGATGGATTTTTTTTTTCCTGATACAAGTATTACAACCTTTTTTGGAGACAAAATGTGAATGTCTCAGTATCTCGTCTGAAATTTCATGACTGATCAAAGGCAACCAATTGCATAAGTTAAAGTGTAGGAGGTAGATTCTCATAGAAGCTCTCTTGAGACGCAGGAAATAAAATAGCTTAGCAATTACGTTCACAAAGAACACGAACTCCTTAGACCTGAGCGTATGGCCTTGGTCATGTTGGCATCTTCATTTTGTGGTAGAGAGATCAGTAATAGTGTATGGAAACTTCCCTTTAGCTTTAAGACCTCAGGAATAAGAGACTTGTCACTGAGGGTACCTGTTAGCCTGCATTTGTGAAAGAAATAGGCTGATGTGCAGTAATTCTTACCGTTCTATCTGCTCTATGTTCAAAGAGAATACAATTTTCATTGGCTGACGTTATCTGTGTTTGAAATAGAGAGTCTGTTTGCCTGCTCAGGTAGACAATGCAATGGGGGAGTCCAGAAGCGATTTTTTCACTGTGAATTGTTCTCAGAATTGGGAACTAAAGTTCTGTTAATTCAAAAGGCGGAAGAAACATAGAGATGAGAACCAACGTAAGAAATTGTTGGAAAACCAAAATTAGGGACCAGTAGTGGGCTTCACTGGGTCCACTCATGTGCTATAAATTTAAGGATGTGTACAAATCTCAGCAGGTTCATAATTTTGTACTATAAATGTATATAGGTGCTGATATTAATATAGTACTTTTTAAGACTAGTAAATTACTTCTATCAAGTTTTAGTACTGTTGTCTTTCTTCATTTGTAGTTATAAAATTGAAGACTGTTGTTCACCTGCTTTGAGTGTAATGGATCAAATGAAACAATACTCGAAATAGTGGGTGAAGAATTGAGATTTGTAAATGCTCTTCTTACGACATAATTTTCTGTGAGCCAGCATTAATAATACCTCTGAAATCAGTCTGTCTAGCTTCCAACTTCAGCACTACACATCTAAGAAAAACATAGCTAAACATATCAACTTCCATCTAAAAGAAGGAAAATTACTATAAGCGATGTTTTAAAATAAAAACAGTGTATTTTTTCAAGATATATCTGTTGTATCCTTCAGCTTTTTCAGTAGTTTTTTCCTTCGTGCTTTTCTCAAATCGCAGTGTTAGATGAAATGCAAACATATAAAAGCATGCTAAGAAACAAATGAATTTTAAAGATGCAGGTTGTTGTATTTTATAAGCAGTACATGCTGTTTGTTGGAAAGATTGTTGGCCTGTAAATTGATAGATTAATATCTTCTGTGTGGTTTACCAAAGCATTTTTCTGTAGTTCAGTAATTAATTAATTACTTTCTAACTGCTTTCCTAGTTACCGTTTTTTCCTTATAGTCTCTCAAAAATTCCAGTAGAGCAGTAAGTGTAGCTGAAGATAAAAATATGGTGTTGTCTAAGACTTCAGTTTGTCTACTGTGACTGATTACACTACTTCTTTAGCTTTTATGTATGATGTAGTTGCAATGTTTGTATTTTTGATTTTTTAAGCATCACGTATATGTAATTACGCTTTGCCAATGTGTAGTAAAAGAGTACAAGTACACCAATATCTATCACTGCAAAGAGTCATATCTACTCCCCTCCCTCATGAAAATAATTTCAGTAATGTCAGATGAGTTTAGTCCAAACTGTTGAAGAAAACAAGTATCATTAGCCATTTATTTCAATTATGAAATGAAAATAGTAAGACTTCTTGGAAGTAATTATATTCCATCTTAGTGGTACAAAGTATATAATGGGAATAACACAAATTCTATTGTGAAGGGAAAGCATAAACTGTGAAGGTGGTACAATTTTTATTTTTATTTTCTTTGGGTTCACAAGGATTTTTTTTAAAGAAAACTCCAGTAAGCCTAGAAAATTGGAGAACACTAAAGAGCAGTAAACATTATCTTAAACCTCCTTGGTAAATAGCCAGTGCAGTTGGCCTGTGAATGAACCTAGAGGGTAATGGGAAAATACTTAATGGGAGTGTTTGACCAAGCAGTGTCTGACATTCCTTTCCATCATACCACGCAAACCTTTTTTTCACCTTTTCTTTCAAGTTTTCATGGGAAAGCCCATTACTGCTTCAAAGCTGCTGGAGTGAAACCTTGTGGTTTTACTAATGGACTAACAGCCTGATTAGTCTCTGCTGTTGTGGCTGGGTATAGACTATTAGTTTGCTTTTCATTTTGTGTATTAGTATTTTATTTTTAGTCACAGTCTGTGGTTAAGCTTGTGACTAAAATATTATATCCACTCTTGTATGCCATCGCAGCATGTAGGCTCTGGGACTTCTCTAGACCTCAAGCTTGTCACATGAATAGTAATACCTTTTGAAGAAAACTAAATACTGATAGATATATGTAAGAACTGGTATAGGCCATGAGCTTTGTCTCCGGCCAGGAGCAGTGTACCTCCAGAAGAGTATGTGAACTGGGCAAACACACAGTGATGCTTCTCTGACTATACTCTTCCGCCTCCGTCATCTGTGACTTAAAGATACCTTGATGCAGCTGTGGGATTTTTGCATTTCGTAGTGCTCGGTGGATTTTTCTTCCGTGATTTTGTCAAGGAGTGAAACACCCATGTTGCAGGATAAGGACAGCTTTGTTCACTGACTGCAGATGAAACCAGAGCTCAGGGGCTGAAACGCCAACCTCTGCCCTCGGGTCAGGAGGCTGCTGTCATATGTGCGGGGCTGCTGCCTGACTCTGGCTCAGTGTCTACAGGTGTCATTGAAAATGGTGAGGGCTTTACACTGTGGCTGTAGTTACATAGGCTAAACTGTGCAGAGTCCCTCTCTTATTACCAAGAGCTGAGCTTTATAAAACAAGACTTCATCCTGTTGTGCTTGTGCAACTTTTTTTTTAAGCTGTTTTATCTCTCTTTCTATCTTGACACAATAATCCGAGAACTGTCCTTTTGCCCTCACCCCCGATATCTACAGGAAAATGATTAGATTAAACTGTCTCAATTTGAGCATTTGTAGCTCATTCTATGTGAAAGATTTCCAGTTCAGTGCAAAATATCTTTCCTCTCTGTTTACATGGATGAGGAATATTATTAAACAGGTCTTGGGAATTATAACTGCTGTAAGAGGAGTACAGAACATGTGCATGGAAACTCAGAGGCCATTTCCCTTTGCCTTCTTCAGGTAATGTGGGGGAAAGGAAGACCTGCAGCATTTTTGGGCTGAGGTCTCATTTTTGGGGATGTCTGTAACTGGACTCTTTTTGGAAGGAAGGGAGGTTTCGTAGTCAAATGCACGTCAAGGGGGATTTATTCCTAATTCTTGGCTTGGCTATGCAAGTATGAGATCTTCATGGGAAGCAGTTATAAATACGTAGTGTATGGGAAACAGAGTTGGGTACACATCATTTCCCCCAATGTTAGATTATCAGATTAATAGCACATAGCTGTGGACAGCCACTTGAATCTCTCTCACGTCTGTCACTCTTTTGTCTGGGTCAGATAGGCCAACCAATAGTTATCCTTATTACAGACAAGATGGATTTTGGCAGCAGTGGAACAGTCATTTTCCCCATATGGAAAAGAGATGAAATATACCCTGTTATTGCCAGGCAAAGATGGGCTCTAAAAAAAAGTTGTGCAATTTAGAGAAATTGCTATTTTTAAATGAAAATGTAAATAATAATTTAATTAAAAAATGAGAACAGATGATGAGATTATGTGCATTAGAAAAGGAAATGTGTAAGATTTT